GTGTGGGGTGTGGATGTGGGTGTGAGTGTGGGGTGTGGATGTGGGTGCGAGTGTGGGGTGTGGATGTGGGTGTGAGTGTGGGGTGTGGATGTGGGTGAGTGTGGCCGTAGATGCGTGAACGTGGGTGCTACAACTCTTCACACCCACACCCACCCACACCCACACCCACACCCACACCCACCCACACCCACACCCACACCCACACCCACACCTACACTCACACCCACACTCCAAACCTACACTCACACCCACACCCTACACTCACCCCCACCCCCACACACCCACACCCTCAGCCACCCCACACCCACCCACACCCTCAGCCACCCTACACCCACACCCTATAAAAATGAATGATTTCCAACGATGAAATCATTCAGTTTCTGAATCGCATAGTAATCATTTTTCTTTTTATATTTTAGTTTGGCTTCAACGATACAATGTGGAACAATTCAACATCAAGCAACACAATAAAATAAAATGTAGGTATCAGTTTTAATTTCTTTTTTCTTTTTCTTTTTAAAATCATATGGAGGGTGGTAAGTCCCTCATTGATCTGTTTTATGTTTTTTTTAGCTATTAAATAGTGAAAGTACGTAAAATTTTTTGAATTATTTTTTTTTCTTTTAGATCAAAGCGGATAAATGAAAGTAACTAAAAAATTTTTTAATGTATTTTTTTTATTTCGAGGTAATGGAAAGTCAACGGAAGAGATAACGGTGGGGTAAGTTATTCTCTTCTTTTCTAAATATATATGAGTAAATAAAATTTTTTCTTTTCCTTTTAGTTTATCATCGAGGCGGGTTGTCAACAGCAACACGATCGTCCAACATCAAAGCACGTAAGTAATTATTTCTTTTTTTTCCTTCTTTTGAGAAAGAGAATAGGGTGAGAGGAGAATGAGTAGAGTTAGAGTAAGCCTCAGTAAACTGAGTGTTAGTGGGAAGGAGGGGTGAGTTATGTCCAGTGGGGTTAGGTCCCTGTTAGTTACAAGCCTTCCGGGTAAGCTCTAAAAATCCGGCCAGGAACTATCTTGGTGCCCGTGGCACACGACCGGGCCTCTCACCCCCCCCCCCCT